TAAAAATAAATTTTGAGAGCTTCTTGTGCTGTTTATAAGCAAAGATGTGTATTTGGTGTTTGGCTCTGTTGGCCAACAGACGTTGCAGAAGGAAATGCTGCCTGCCCAGTGTGCTCCCTAGGCCTTTGGAGTAATTAGGCTGAAGGTTGTCTGTCTCCCTCCACAGAAAGGTGCTGGATATCATCTGGATTTGTTCTGGGTGGCCATTCTGATGATTGTCTGCTCCTTTATGGGGCTGCCCTGGTATGTGGCTGCTACTGTCATCTCCATTGCTCACATCGACAGCTTGAAGATGGAGACAGAGACTTCAGCCCCTGGAGAACAGCCCAAGTTTTTGGGAGTGAGGTATGTCCAACCAGAAAAGTCTTAATTACCTTATTTACCTGCAAAATCCTTTTGTACAAAGAATTTTGTGCTGCTTTCTCCCTATTTCCAAAGCCAGCTGTGAAATTCAGCAGCACAGTTCTCTGGCAATTCCTTGGGCAAACTCCTGTGTGACTCCTCAGAAGTTTATTTGGCCAGATCAGATACAATTTTCTAGTGTTAAAGGAGCTAAATTTCCTTTATCCATGGAAATCAGGCATTCCTTAGCAAACATAGTGGTCAAACATGCAAACCTGTCCTGCCTGGAGCAACAGACTCTACTTAATGGAGCCATTTTTGCTGTGTTTGGTTGCCTTAATTAAGTGGTTTGAAGTGCTTCTGATGGGAGCACTCCTGGAAATCAGGCTGCTTGTTTAGACAACTAAGTAGAAATTTAATGGCCTGACTTTCAGTGCTCTGAAATATTCCTGGCCAAGGTATTTTTGAATGTGGGAAGCCCTGTGGGTGCTGATGTAGGCACATGTTCAGCACCCCACAAAGGTCTAAAGCATTTATCCTGCTGCTGGAGTGCTCTGAGCAGGACTCACAATCTGTTACTGATCTCAGGGTGAAGAGCTAATGATTTATTGCCTCTCTGTATGCTCTGAGTAGAGCCATGCAGGGAATTTGGAGTGCTGGTTAACGGTTTGTAATGTTTAACATGTAAATACACTCCTCCTCGCTCAGTAGCAGTGCTATGTTATCCCCAAACAGCATAGGAAAACATCTGGGGGTTGAAAATGGAGGTGTGCAGGGCTTGGTCAGGATCCTACCACCTGCCTGATGCTGGTGGCTGAAAAATGTGACTGTAAAAACGAGTTTTGGGGCTTTATGTTGGTGTTGAGTACTCAGAGTGTAGAACCAAAGCCATCCTGCTCACCCAGCGGTCTCGTTTCAGGGAGCAGAGAGTCACTGGAGTAATTGTTTTCATCCTCACTGGGGTGTCTGTCTTCATGGCTCCCATCCTGAAGGTAAGGATGTTCTTTGGAAGCCTAAATCCAAACCTTTGAAAGGAAAACCTGACATGGCTGTAATGTGCTACAACAGTGAGCAAGTTCAGCTCTGTGAGTCTTGGGCACTGTGATTTTTTTCATTGTAAAGTTATTCTTCCGTGTTTGCATAAGGTTAAGTTTTCTGTTCTCTTACAATTCCTCTGCTGTGCCTCTATTTTATGGGAAACATATTGTGGATAACGTATGGAAAACATATTTCTGGAAGAAGCAGGGCAATTAAATGCCATTTCTTCATCTCCTCAATCTTTTCTTCTTGTGAAGAAAAGGCTCTGGACAGATGTGCTGCTGATGGACCTTTGGGTCTAGGTAGGTTGCTGTTTTCTAAGACCAGAAACTTGTTGGCATGTAGCCATGGAGAAATGCATCCTTAGTAGAAGGAAACTGGAAAACCTGCTTATCCCTGTCTTGTGGAAGATGCTGCCTACTCCAGCGATGGTGATGGAAGCAGTGCCAAGCACAGACATACTGTCCAACAGGAGATGTCAGCTACAGGAATCCTTCTCCATGGATCTGTAGGCCAGTGGTATGAGCAGAAGATGTCAAACCAGTGGCACTGTGCATCGTAACTCCAGGATGGAGCAGATGGGTGTCTGCAGGAGCAGTTCTGGAGGAGACAGAGGAGTTTTTGGAAGCTGCAGGACCTGTGAGGCACGGGGAGATGTGAGCCTGAGGGCAGGAGGCAGGCAGGGAGCAGAGATGCTGCCTGTGGAGAAAGTGGAGACAGCGCTCCTGTTCTTCATTGCTAAGGTTGTTTCTAAGCTCAAATTCTGGTGTCTTGGTAACAGTTTCCATCTCTGCACAAACAGGCATTTCCATGTCCTTAATTTAGTGCCTGATTGTGGTAATCCTGTTTGTTGGTTCATGTGACCTTTCCCTGCAAGATCCCTCTTCCTCTCTTCCACTGGGGTCTATTATTTCCTCTGCTCTTGCTTCAGTCATTAATGATATGCCTGTGCTTCCCCTAAGACAGCATGTGGGGAAGCTCCTCACAGGAGGACGTCTGAGGATAGATCAGCACGCTCCTGGCCCACGTGCCAGCGGGGAGGACCTGGCAGGGATTCAGGACCTTTAGCAAACTCCAGTGGCAGGGTCCTGCTGGAGAGAGCTGCTCTGCTGAACACATTGCAGAACACTTCAGCCTTCTCCTGCCAGCAGCGAGTTGAACGCTGACAATCCCAAGTTCAATAAACCAGGCAATCCAAGGAATAATCCCAGCTTTGTCTTCTGGGGGTTTTGTGGTCGTTGTGCTGGTTTTGGATGTCACTGGGTGTTGCTGCTCAGCCATGGCAGATCTCCACAGAAACATCCTCAGCCCTGCTAGGAGAGTGACAAGCACTTTCCTGTAAATACAGTTCTAATCCCATTGGCCCTCAGCAGGTTTGCTCAGAGCGCTGGGCCAGAAATGCCATCATTAGGGAATGCTTAGCCAAGAGAAAGTCTTCCAAATGACAGCACCACTTGCTGCTCTGCAGGATATTGGACTGAGGTTTCACCTTGGGATGGTCTACAGGATTAATCATCTTGAAATGGTGAAATAATATTTGGATGCTTTTCTTATGTCTTAAAAACCCCACAGAAATAAGTAGAAGGAGAGGAGAAGAGAGCAGTGAAAATGAGCTAGAAATCAAGCTCTGATCACTGGATGTTATGTCTTGTCCTATCCCTCAGATCCAGTGAGGGCTTTGAATCCTATGGTCACCCACAGCTTTGTGAACCAACCTCCCACTACGGTGAGGGCAGACCCATGCTGTGGGAAAAGCTTTTGCTTTTTGATGGGGAGTATCAACGTGGATCACTCGAGGAAGGAATTAAACCCAAGAGAAGGTTGAGTTAACAAAGAAGAAGCTCATGGGAAGTGATAGGGAATGAGACTCAGGAGGGAAGGAAATGTAGGCAGGGAAGCTTTGGATGGCACATGGCCAGGTGACTTTAATGCTCATATACCCCCAGGGAAATGTGTGCAGCTAAGGCTGAATAAGGTGGTTGGGAATATGCTGAAGCACTGGATAGGTGCTGTGTTATCTACCTCCTCAATGAGCTCCCCAGAGGTTGGAAGGGGAAGGGAAGAGCCAGTGCCATAGCTGTGCTGCGGCTGCCGTTCAGTGGCAGCTGCCTGGCACTGCACCAGGACTGTCCAGAGCTCATTCCATCCTCCTGAGCTCAAGTAAATCCCACAAAAGCCTTTATTCAGCTCCTGCCTGTGGTTTGTTCCAAGTGTCCCCGTTCCTGTTACACCAGGCTACACAGCTCTGCTGCAGGGGACAGAGACTTGTTCTGAGGATGTGTGTGGTGTTCCCCTGAGCCTTCCTCGTTCCTAAGGGGAGATGTCCCTGATGCTGTCAAGGGAGCAGAAACTGATGTTTGAAAGGACAGACCCTGGCAGTGAAGAAGGGAACTCAGAGTCCTGTATTTGTGAGAAGTTATGGATTCACGTGTGTGAGAGATGGAGCAGGCAGAGATTTGGTTGGCATAACTCTCATCACTGAGGTGGGACTCCAGAGCAGAGCTTTTCTGCATGGATTGCTTGGCTTACTGAGCTGGACATGGAATCACAGGATTGTTTCAGTTGGAAAAGGCCTCCAAGATCACCCAGTTCAACCAGCACTGCCAAGGCCACCACTAAACCCCAGGTGCCACATCTAGACAGCTTTTTTATCCCTCCAGGGATAGTGACTCCGCTACTGCCCTGGGCGGCTGTGCCAGGGCTTGACAACTCTTTCCATGAAGAGATTTTTCCTAATATCCAATCTAAAACTCCCCTGGCACAACTTGAGTCCATATCCTCTTGTCCTGTCGCTTGTTACCTGGGAAAAGAGGATATACCACAAACCACAGGATCATGCTGCCTTTTCTTCTCTGCTTTCTGCTTCCAGTTTCACCACAAACCCAGAAGTGAAAGGCAGTTTGAAGCTCACTGGAACATGTTTCCCTCACCTCTTCCTTAACTCACTGACTGACTGGCACTGGCTGGCATCATTCCCTGTGGTTCCTGGCGAGACATCCAGCTCCTGGTGAAGTGGGAGAGTGTGATTGCACAGATGTTCTTGCAGCTCTCGAAACACAGCAGAAGGATTTATTATTATTTACTTAGCTTTGTTTTTCTTTATTATTTACATGGCTTTATTCCTCCACCTTGTCCATTTGGTGCAATTTGAGTTGATCACGGCTGGAAATGACATCCCACCGCATGTTGATGGTGTGTTGTGTACAGGGAGGTTGTTCACCTAGTTTCTCCTGCTCTTCCTCCCACAGTTCATCCCCATGCCTGTGCTCTATGGTGTCTTCCTCTACATGGGTGTTGCGTCCCTCAACGGTGTGCAGGTGAGTCCCTCCATCATCCCGGGGAAGGTGGCAATCATTAACCAGCTCAGGGGTTCTTCCACAGCTCTCTGGCTTTTCCCTTCACTTTCTCACCTCTTCTTCATTCCCAGGAAAACCAGGAAGGGTGGCAACTGTGGACAACCATTGCCACTAGCTGGATGTCCTGAGATGGAGACCAAGGGAGAGTGGCCAAGTCTGGCCACTCTCAGCAATTGGGGGGTGCTTTGTGATGATCCTTGGGCAACCAAGATGGGGCTTGGAGCAAACTGTTCTAGTGGAAGGTGTCCCTGCTCTGTGAAGGTCCAGGTCCATCCTGGGCAGCCAAGATGGGGTTTGGAGCTCTCTGATCTAGTGGAAGGTATCCCTGCCTGTAGCAGAGGAGTTGCAACGAGATGATCCTTAAGGTCCTTTCCAACCCAAACCATTCCAGGATTCTACAGACATCCCCCCCAACTCGGCCTCACTCCCAAGGTGGCTTCAGTCCTCTGCCGCAGACTGAAGGCAAACAAGGAGGATGATTTGTGGTGTTGGGGTTATTCCTCAGTGCTAATGAGCAGGAACATTGTTCTCTGGGGAGGGGAAGCCAAGCCCCTCTCTTTGTCAGTGAGGAAATCTTACGTAAGGAGCCGTTCTCACAGCCCAGCGCCTGTGCCTGGCCCGGGGAGGCTGGAAGTGGTTTTGTTGCTTTCTGGCACCCTGTTAATTGTGGCCTTTCTTTTTGGCACCGGGTTGTGCCCTAACGGGAAGGGACTGCCTGTTCTGTGAGCCCCAGGAGCATTCCCTGGGGGGCTCTGGAGAGCAGCCCTGGCTTCCATTCACTGGTGAGGGATCCGTCTGGTGCCGGCGGTGGGCAACGAGCCCACACTCAGCCAGGGGACAACGAGGGGATTGTCCTCTTGGCCCTGAGGCTGCCTCTCCAGGAGGGGATTTCCCCTGCTTCCCAGCCCAGGTGGTCGAGGGACTGGGCAGGTTTTTTTCCCCTCATCAAGAGTGTTTTTCACTCACTGAGAAATCCCCAGTTTGGTTTAACTCCAAGTCCGGCACGGGGCAAAGGGACACTGCTGGGAAGGCTGCCTGTCTTCCTTGCTCTTCAGTGAAGTGCCTTTCTGTTCTCTAGCAATGTGATGTTTGCCCTTGCCTCTGTTGACCTCTGCTCCTGATTTATCTGGGGGAGGAAAGCACTCTTTCTACAAACTGGATATCTTTCCTTGGCAGGAGTGGGGCAGGGGAAGTGTCCCAGAGTGTGATGCTGACCCAAGTTTGGACATTCATCCTGTTTTCTCTCTTTTTTTGTGTACCCTGGCATTCATTTCAACATCCCTTTCTTTTCCTTTCCAGTTCATGGATCGTCTGAAGCTGCTCTTGATGCCTCTAAAACACCAGCCTGACTTTATCTACCTGCGCCACGTCCCACTGCGCAGGGTCCACCTCTTCACCTTCCTGCAGGTGGTGTGCCTGGCCCTCCTCTGGATCCTCAAATCCACTGTGGCTGCTATCATATTCCCTGTCATGGTAGGTGATGGTCTCCTCTGCAACTCTCCGTCCCTCCCTTCTCCTTCACATCCCTCCCTTTCACAGCCTGCACTTCCTGTGGTCAAACCCTGCCATAAATGAGTAAATCCCACCTCTCCCTGTCAAATCCCTGGCTCAGGGCTCTGCTCATGGCACTGATGTAGGATTGCACAGGGTCAGTGTGGCCGTGGCTGCCTTCCTATTAATCCTCTGGAAGAAAACAAGCCTGGAAAGTTAATTTTTTCCCAGAAAGGTGTAGTTAGTATTGAGCATTCCTGATTGCCAAGGTTAGATTTGCTGTGGTTTCTCCTTGAGCTGCATGAACCAAGGAGAGGGACATAGTTTTTCTGGTTTAGTCCACACTAATTACCAGATAGAAAATGTCTTTTAAGTAGCATAAATTGACAAAACCAAAGGGGTGTCAAAGGGAGGGGAAGGATTAGCTAAATCAAGAGCAGTAAAAGCAATGTCTCATCCTTGAACTCGAGCAAAAAGGCACTAATGTTGTTTCACATCAGAGGGTGATTACTTAGATGATTACTGGAGCTATAGGCACAGTTAGACACCCTCTGGCTTGGAGATGGGTCAGGCTGCTGCAAAGGCAAAGCTTCATGAAACTCCTGAATAAATCCAGGCCCAGGTCACCTATTTCAGGTTTACAGAGAAGTACAATCCCATTTATGGGGCAAGGTAGGAACTGCAGTGCTTAATTAAGGGAGAGAAGGAGGAAGGGCAGAGCCCAGATCAAGGACAAGCTGGTGAAATGAGAAAAGATGATGCAAGTAAAAAAAACCTCCAAATGTTCCTGCTGGGACACATGCTCCTGTGCAAAGGTGTTAAAAAATTAGCAGTTCCCACTGAGGCAGCTTTCCCTCACATTTCCACGGCTCTGCTGCACTGCTCTTGGAAGCTGAATCTAAAATCTCTTTGCCCAGAATAGAATCTGAGTGAACCCCATGTCTGCCAGAGTTTGATATAATGGTGCAGGCTCAGAGAAGGCACAGTCACAGCTTCGATGGAGCTGGATCTGATAGCAAAACTTCAGTTCTCTGCACCCATGAACCAAATGACTACTAACTTCCAATTTGTGAGGATCCAGCCCATAGCCAACTCCCTGTTTATGTGGGGGAAAGGCACTTTGAACACAGCAGCAGTTCACAGGGAGATGGTCACGGGTGTCTACACGGCATCTCTCCACCCCCTGAGGAATTCCTCACAGCTGTAATCGTGTCTTGAGTTACGCAAGTCAAAGCTGGAGATATTTTCCTGGGAATTGTTTGTGCCCTTGGTCATCATTGCTTGGAACAAACTTTTCCTTAAAGGCAGCCTCTTGGGAATGGGTTACAGCTTCCAGCCTCTCAGAGTGCTCCTTGGCAAAGCCTAGGTGGGATGTTGGAAACATCTGATGGGGGTGTCAGACCCAGTGTCCATGTAAACATCCATTTCAGACACATCCCTTCCTTTTCTCCCAGTGCCTTGGATTGCAGCCTCACATAGAACAAGCTTTTCCTCCAGTTTCCTGCTGCCACAATCCAAGTAAACTTTATTCTGCAAACTCCAGGGTCATGATCTGGCCCTTGTCTGGTTTCTAAAGAGCTCTTACACCTGAGAAAGTGGTGAGAAATAAGTCAGGGCTTTATTACTTAGGCTGCTCCATGTACCTGTATCCAGAAAGAAATTAAATTGCTCATGTTTTGTCTCTATTATTTAGAAATATTGAGAATTGAGTGATTACAATACTGCTTTGTGTCCACTGCTTCTGTTGATTCTGATGGGAAGCAGTCACAGCTCAGCTTTTCAAGCTGATAGAGATGCCCCAGGTGTCCACCACCTTCTCTTTGTGCCATTTACAGCCAGAATTGAAGTGTGTGGGCTTAGAAGCAGCATCAAGAGGAATGCAAAGTGTTCCCAATGAAAGGTAAAATGTGACTGGGAATGCCTCTCTGCCTTTGCAGATCCTGGCCCTGGTAGCAGTCAGAAAAGCCATGGACTACCTCTTCTCCCAGCATGACTTAAGCTTTCTTGACGACGTCATTCCAGAAAAGGACAAGAAGAAGAAAGAGGATGAGAAGAAGAAGAAAAAGAAGAAGGGCAGTATGGACAGTGACAATGATGATGTAAGGAGCTTTCAGCTCTTCTCACATTCCTCCTTCCTAGCTAGCTAACCCCAGGCACAGTCTGTGCCTGTGCCCAGCACTGAGGCTGAGGATTCCCCAGGCACTTTCGGAGGAGATACCTCAGTCTTTGCTGCTGCAGCAGCAAGTGGGCCCCAAAGAAAACTTCTTTCCTACATTGCCTTCCCTTTTCCAGCCTGTGGTGGGTGGTTTGTGCATTGCCAGGAGGTAAATCACACTTCCCAAGAGCACTAGGTACCTGCTGAGATGTCCTGCCCCTTGCTAGAATGCCTCTCATCAGCCTCCAGCTTCCCTCCTCCTCCACCTTTCTCCCTGTCATTGTCTCTTACATTTTAGGAGGAGAGTACTTTTCACCAGCAGCTCTGGTCCTTCTGGTTTTCTTTTTTTTAATTGATCTTTTTGTAATTACTCTTTTTAAAAGCACAAAAAAGATATGATTTGTCATATTGCAGGAAAAACTGCTTTATGTTGGTAATACTCATCCATATTTCCCAAGCATCTTTGCCCTCTGCAGTGCCCTCTTGTCCTACCTCAGGTTGCAGCATGCCCTAAAATAGTGACAAGTAGACCAGACCCATGTGCCTTTGACTGTTCTGTTTCTTACTGTGTATATAAGAAGAAGAAATGTAGTCCTGGTGCCTTTAAACCTTCTCCTGCTCAGGTCTAGCTGAAATCCTATACATTTATATTGAAGTGCTAAACACACTCCGTGGTGAGCACTAAGCATGGTGTCACTTCTGCTCATGTGTCCACCCAAGGTCCATGAAGGAGGGCTTTTCCTGGGGTGTAGGGAGAGGTAGGATCAGCTGAAGCTGGAAAAGAATCCCATTTTAGCATGGCAGGAAAAACAGCTGGGAGGATTGGCTCTTACTTCAGGCAGCAAACTCCTCTGTCCCATCACTCCTCCAGTTCCCAGGGCAAGGGTTTCCTGCAGCACAGAACTTAGTGCAAACCAAAATGAGATTAAAAGAGACCCTACTGAATAGTCAGCAAAGGTTTGACTCCATCCCCTCCTCTTGTCTGGGTTGAATCCAGCAGCATCATATCCCAAGTCATAGCTCCCTTCTCTCCAGTATGTTTTAAGCAATCTCCTCTCTTCCCAGGCTTTTAATGAATTCCAGGTACAGTAATTAATCTAACGGGTAAGAGATTTGGTGCAAAACATTGGTTCTTAACTCTTCTTGGGTTTTTTTCAGCACTTGTTTTTAGCAGCTTCCTGATCCTACAGCACTGGGCATTACTGGTTTGATTATTTTCACCCTTTCCCTTCCAGAAATAGCCCTCCCAAGGTTAATCCTGTGGGATTTGGGGGGCAATACATGGATCCAGCTCAGCCAAGGAAACTGCTGGGTGTTGCTAATGCTTTATTCGAGTTATCCTTGTCCCTCAGCCTCATAAGAACAGTCCCGAGGAAACATCTCGCTGTTGGAGTATGAAATAAGGCACTGGATGTCAGTTATGTTAAAAACAAGTTAAAAATAAGAATAATAACCCAGGGACAGCAATTCTCTGGCCTCTATAGTGTTTTCCTGCCCTGGCTGCAAGGTGTCCTCACTCCACCCTGGCACTGTGGGTCTGGTTCTCTCCAGGAGCAAAGATATCCCAACACTTCTGGCAAATCCCACCTTCCTGCCTTCGCCAAGTTAGGCAACATCAGCCTTCCCTTGGCTATGAGAAGTTCCTTTTATTTTTAAAAGAGCAAAATAACCCCACATACCTTCTCCTAAGCATAAGCAGGTGGGATACCCAACTCTTCCAAGGGCCCTGGATTTGATGAACTAGAGGTGTAATTGAGACTGGGTTTGACTCCACTGAGCCAGCCCAGAGTGAGGAACCTTTGCCGTGTCATGTCCAGCGCTCACAGAGCAATTACAGAATCATAAATTTAGGGGTTGGAATGGACCTTAAAGACCATCTAGTCCCAACCCCCTGCCATGGTGGAGGACACACACACACTAGATCAGGTTGCTCAAGGCCTCACCCAGCCTGGCCTTGAAACACTACCAGGGTCGGGGCAGCCGCCACGTCCCTGGGCAACCTGTGCCAGTGTCTCACCAGAGAAGAACAAAGGGGCTTTACAGAAATCCCAGAGGATAAGAGGTTTGGATGAGCTTTCCCAGCAGCCTGTGCACTGCTTTTTCTGCCCATGAGTGCGTTTTCCATCTGTGTTTCCTGCAGCCAACTCCAAGCGGAATGGGATGGTGTCTTACAAACTGGTGGGGTGGGAAAGGGGAAGATTTATGTCAAGTTACAATCCACAAGATTATCCTTTCAGTCTCTTTTGGAGTGTGCAGGACAAAGGGAAGTGGGGTACAGTGGGGAGCCAGTGGAATCCATCAGGCAACTAAGCTGGACAATGCTTTTCTCTTTTTCCCTTCTTTTCTTTTCCTCATTCCTACAGAAACTATGTGAAGGCTAATGTTAATGTGTGGGAGACGATAAGAGAGAGAGCAGTGGGAATGTTCTAAGACCTTTTACACGTTTCTTTCACAGTCTGACTGCCCCTACTCAGAAAAAGTCCCAAGTATTAAAATACCAATGGACATCATGGAGCAGGAACCTTTCCTAAGTGATAGCAAACCTGCTGACAGTGAGTAGAACTAAGCTCTTGCATGCCTGCTTGACTCTGACTTGCACTACCAAAATATATCTATTTAGAATGATTTTGGGGGTTATTTTTAATCTTTCCTTTTATTTGAGAAACACTTCTGTGTGCTCTTGGGTTTTTTTCCCTCTCTATTTTAATTTCCAGGCCTCTGCTTTATGACAGATTTTGCTTTTGTGAGCTTTCCTTTTTCTTTGCTGGTTACAAAATTCTATGTTGTTCCCTCTGGTGCCTCCAGCTTTGAGTGCTTTTCTCCAGCTCCTGACAGGTCTCATGGCCACCCACTCTCTCCTCCTCTCCTCTCTGCCCTCTCCCCCTTGGTGTTAACCTGCTGATGGTGGGATTGGTTTTTCCTGGTGTTCTGGATTTGCAGCGCTGTCCTGTCACTGTTTGTTCCCTTAGGTGCCAAGCAGTTGCCAAAATCAGCATTTCACAGAATAATTAATTGTGTCATTAAACTGAGCAGGCAGGGATCAGTTGGCCATTAACTTACTTCCCTTCTTAGGTGATTTGCTTATGTACTCTTCTCTATGTTTTTAATTTCTCACCTTAATGTCCCTCATTGATGATGATAATCTTCATTTTCAGTCATTTCCACTTTGCATCTTCCTCTTTTAAGTGAGGAATCACAGCTGACCTTGGCTTTTTTGCCTTTGGGCTGACTTTTTAACATACCAAAGGGTGTCATTTGCTGTTTTGTCAGGAGATGGGAGGGGAGAAATACTAACTAGGGTAATAAATCAGTGCTGCTGCCAGGGTGGTGATTCCTAGGACCAGAACCTAAACCCCCAGATCTTTAGATCCTTAAATTATCCCTAGGAACCTCCTAGATCCTTAGAACCTTAAATTATCCTTAGGATTCAAGGCCTGGACCTCCTAGATCCCTAGATCCTTAAATTATCCTTAGAATTTGAGGGCTGGGACCTCCTAAATCTTTAAAGCCTTAAATTATCCTTAGGATTTAAGGCCTGGACCTCCTAGATCTCTAGATCCTTAAATTATCCTTAGGGTTAAAGGCCTGGGACTCAAGTCCCTTTCCTTTTGGTGGCATATAGAGGCTTTAGGCAATGCTAAGCATTGTTCTGTGGGTTTT